TGTATATAGTAATAGTTAGGTTAAGATAATATAGAGTTGAATTGATAATAGTAAGAAAATATTACAATTAAAAGTTGAAGAATAGTTGTTGAAAAATAAATCAGATAAAATAGAAATAAGATTAAAAGGGTTAGATTTGAAAAGAAAATTATAGAATATAGAAGAAAATATGAAATAATAACAATATAGTCTGGTAAAAGAATATCATTAGAAACATATATATAGGTTTTATTATAAGATGAATTAACAGAAAATATAATACTAGATACTATTTTGTTATTATTATATTTATTAATATATTGAATTAAAGTTTGAATAGTTTGACTATGAGGAAAAAGTAGTAAATTGTAATGAAAAAAAAATTTGTTAAAACATGTATAAAGATTATAGGAGATTAAAGATGTTATAAATGATCTTTCAAAATTTTTTTTTATAGAATTAATTACTATATGCTCAGCTCTTACAGCTGTGCAAGTTACTATAGTCTTTTCTGTATATTGAGTCTTACTATCATTATCCTGGCCTTTTACATAAATAGGCTTATCCACTTGCCTACTTATCTTATTTTCCTTACTAATTACAATGGATGTATCTTTTAGTAAGATGTGGCTGCTTTAATGTTAGTTGTAAAAGACAAAAAACTTAAAAAGAAGATTGTAAAAATAGTGAGTCTAAGATAAAAACAAGTTGGAAGTTAAGATTAAATTTCTTAAATAAAAATTTTTCAGCTGCTAGATAGGCAGTATTATTAAAATATTTTATTATTTGTAAGTAGATTGGCTTTTGGTTTTTGATAACATCAAAGTATGTAATAATTTGAGCAAAGAATTTAGTATTAATAATGTTTTTTGTAAGTTAATAGCCTTCTTCTTGAACAGAGGTTGTATATTATGATTTTTAGTAGCAGTTTAATAGTAGAGAGAGAGGTAGCAGTAGAAGTAATAGTCAATGTTTAGAATTAGTTTTTATTTTATTTTGATCACAAACAAAGTTTTTAGCTTAGTTAGCAAGTTTGTCTAAGGTTTTAGTAGAGATGAGTTGGTCAAGTAAAGCAGTATATTCTTTATTTTTGTAGAATAAAATAGAGTTAAGAGTTGGATGAATCCAAGTTTCATTATCCTAAGAAGGAAATAATAAGCAAGATTTAGTTAAAATATTATTAAATAGCTTAGTACTATTATAAAATTTTTTGTTATTAAGGTATTGGCATTCTTATTATTACAAATGAGACAATAAATATTAGCAACACAAGATGCTTTTTCATATCACTTCTGAAATGAGTTAGGTTTTTTAAATATATAAGTTTCAAAAAAATGTTTAGAGAGTTAAAGAATAAAATGTTGATAAAATTAAATTCTAAGAGAGGTGCAAACTTTTTCTTTGTTAATATTAGAAAAAAATTGTTTACTGTAAGAAGGGTAGTAGATATCAAACCAAAAGTTAAAGTGATCAAAAGAATTTTTTACTGAAGGAATACAAAATCTTTCTAAAAAAAAGGTTTTGGAAATATTAAAATAATGTTTAATATTGAATCTAGCATCTGACTGAATATACTAGACTAGTCATAACAGAAAATTGTTTTGATTACATAATCAGTAATTAGTTTATGACTCAGCTGATCATAATATTACATCAAGTAAGTGATTATATCCATTAAACTTGAAGTTACATATAAACTAAGAAAATAGAATCTGTTAGGTGCTTCATATTAGTAAACATACTTTTAAAGTTGCTTAGTAGATCTATTAATTTATAGTTTATTAGTGAAAATTTTTTAGTATAAATATATAATTATTATATACTTATCTATACATTTTATAAAAATATAAAAGTTATTAACTTTTATAAAATAAGCATTTAAAGACAAGTTAGAATGTGAATTAGATTAATATAATGTAGTTAGATCATGATTAATAATATAAAGTATTGCTCTCTCACATAATATATTACAAAAATTTAAGTAATTAGTTTTTCTTATATCTTAATATTTAAAGCAGCTTGTAAACCAGCTATATATAAGAAAATAAATTAAACAATCTTAATATATAATATGTCATATATTAATAATTAAGTGCTATATTTAAACTTTAAATTTATAATATACAACATATGCTACTAAAATTTGCAAATAACTTTTTATCTTATTTTGGCTTTCTAGAATTTATATAGAATCTAATATCTTTACCTATTGTCTGAACTTGAGTTTTATTGCTTTGCTTCAGAAATAATTTTAGTTTAACTGATTACCCTGTGTGAATAATGATGTGAAAGATTATATTTATAATATACATTTTAAAGTAAACACAAAATAAATAATTTTATTGTTGATTGACTACATTGTATAAAGGATTAAAATGTAATATTGACAGTTCTTCATGTTAATAAAACATTTAAATTAGTACAAAAAAAATTCGATCTTTTATATAATTATTCTTTTTAGAATTACTTTATTTAAAAAGCACAAATTCTTATTCTATTTACTGTTTTTATATTAGATTAGTCTTTTTTAACATAAATGTTTATTATATTTGCAACTACAGATAAGAAAATAATAAAACTAATGATATTGAAATAGAAAAAAAACCTCTTTTTAGACTTCAAATTATGATTTTGGTTGAATATTGATATTATAATATAATAGTCAACTTAATAAGATATTACTATAGCCAAAAAGCCAATTTTTTATTTTTTGGTAGGTTCTAGGTTTGTTGCTGTTTTTTAGCATTTAAAGCTTTAGTGCAGTCAAGTTTCTTAGTAACAAGAGGTTGTTTTAAGGTCTTGTATACTTCAAAAAGTTTAACATTAATATTTTCATTTATAATTTTTACTAACATTTCATATACTTTCATATCTTCTATTAGTTCTGCTTTCCTACTTTCAATAATTGTATGTTAAGCTAAAATAAAAGTTTTTATATTACTATTAAGTGTTCTTTCTAATTTTTTGACCTCTAAACTATTATTTTGAAAAGCATTATTCTATAGATTATTATCAAAGCTAATTCTGGGAAGGTTTAATGCACTAAATACAATTAGTGAATAATCATATTGTTTTTTCATAACAAGAAATTTGAGAAAAAGACTAGGAGTTTTTATAGTATATTTATTTATTAGATGCTTATATATCAGGTAGGGACTTTTAATAAAAGCAGAACATAAACAGACCCAGATATTTGTATCATTATGATATCTGTCTTTTGCATCAATATCTTTTTCTAAAGCAGCTTTCTAATCATGTTTAAATAAATTTCATTATAATGGAAAATTATAATTATAGCAGTACCTTTGCCAAGTATATTTCATATTAGGTACTAATTCTTTTGTAAGAATTTAAGTTAGACAGTCAAGACATAGTCAGTTGCAATTGTATTTGTAATTATATTTTAAAACATGTCAATGCAATTTAGTGATCATGATAGTTTTGGCTATCAGTATGGCTTTAGAATAAGATGCTCAGGCAAAAAGTGTCCAGTTCTTCTTGTTGTACCAGTTCACCTATAGATACCTCCATAGCTTAAAGAGATTCTTTTGCTAACAAAATTAGTAAGTTTCTAAAATGCTCTGATGATAGATTTGTTCTATTGTTAGAAAAATATCTTTATCTACCAGAATAAGTAGCATGTTTTTTGACTATTTTTAATATTTCAGTTATAAATTCTTCAGAGCATAAAGCATTTTGTTGTCTATCCAGAAGCCAGGTCAGATCTATAAAGGTGAATTGTTAATATGTCTCATTTACTTTTTGTACAAAATACTGACTTCTACAGGACTTTTTTTTCTTTAGTTTATATTAGATTGCATGTTCTATATGCCAAAAACAAAGCTGAATTATTGATGTCTGAGATTATGCATTCTGAACAGTAAAAATTTCACCAGAGTCTTTGTTCAAGAGCACAAATAATGATAAAACTTCTTTGCTTTACAAATTAACAAAAAACTCTTTAAGTACACCAACTCAGGTATGTACAACATTATTAGCATTCAAAAGAAGTTCTTTTGATGCTGCATATGTATTTACATTTAAATATGCAAGTGGAACACCATACCCACTATAATTAATATTTACTGAAAATAGTTTAAATCATTTTTAATTCATTTTGAATATCAAATTAATAATAATTTCACTAATTTGATCTTTTTCCAAGTTATAAAGAAATAGGGTTGTGAATCCAAGTAAGCATACAAAATTATTTTCTTAATATTGAATGACTTTGTAGTCTGCACTTTCTAGTTTTTTTTGTTTTAAGAAATTTTTTATTGACTTTACTTGATTGCTTATATCAGATATGCATAGTTTTGCTGAAAGCTTGTGCACCTAATAATAAACTTGTTAGTAAGTATAAATTGATGGGTCAATTGCAAAGTCTTTTATAAAACTTAGCTCTTTGTGAGCTATGATTAATGTTTTGTTTTATTTAAGCTATAGCACTTGCTAGTAAATTTGTTTCTCTGTATGTGGGATGCTTATGAGTAATTAAATACTTTATTGATATTTTAGCATGCCACTCACATAGGTCTATTTTGATTGTTATAGTGTCATAGCATAGATAGTATTCAATAGCAGAATGCACTTCACTTATCTGCTTTACAGGTTGTTTATTTGGTTTTTATACTTACATTCAAGCTTTTGTATACAACCTAGGTAGACTGTTGCATATTCTATATATTGCTATTTTTTTTATTGATATACAAATATCAAAGCTCTCAATAATACCCTAATTCTATTTGAAGAGACACAATTATGATATTAATAATCTTATAAAATTTTTCAGCTTCTTCATTTTGGTTAAATTCAAACAATAATATATTTTTATTAACTAATTTTCTTTTAATTTTTACTTTTATAGAAAATTCAATATAGTTATTTTTTTCTTTACTATCTTTAAAATTAACAGATATAAGTTCTTTAAGATCACCAAAATCATAAAAAAGTTTGTCTTTATTATTTTCATCATTGTCAATTCCAGTTTCATCACTTTCATTATAATTTAGAATTAATGATTAAGTATTTTCAGCAATAACAGCTCTGGCATTTTGCTTACTTTGGGCTAAAGATGAAGTACTTTCAGCAATAATGGCTCTAGCATTTTGTCTGCTTTTTTTATTTTGTTCATTGCAAAGATTACATTTGGCAAATGTTACTGCCTTACCCCCAGACTGCTTTGTAAATTCAATAACTAGTTTAGTTTTTTTACAATGAGAACAATATTTGCTTTCTTTAGCATTAACAATAATATTTTGAGTATCCATTTTCTAGTTTATTTTTTTGTATTTATTTTAATGTGTTTTTTTTTATAGTTTATGAATATTGCAATTCTAAGATTACTAATATACTATAATAATACTAGAATTGTTAGAAAAGTGAAATATACAATAAGAAAGAATTAAAATCCTTCATTAGTATTTATATCTTTAATCTTAATTAATAAGGGTGTTTAAGTACCATAAATGATTATTACACATATCTAAATGCTAATGTTTTGATTATTAGTTAACAGCAAAATTGTTAACTGTAGCATAATAATGTCTTATTATATAGCAGTAATGCTATGCTGCAATTTAGCAATTTTTTTGTTAATTATTTCCAATTATCATAAATATACAATGTTTATGCTACATTATATTTTTGAGCAAAACTGAAATATCAAATAGTCATGAATGATTATGTTTATACAGTATCATGTCTATATGAATTTCAGCAATACCTTGCTACATATATTTTATTACAGCATTCTACTTAGCCACATGTATTACTTTGACATCTTTTATTTGTTAATTATTATAATATTTTGGTTGTAATATGTAATCAATTCAATGCTTGAGTTTTATAAATTTAATTGCAGTTTTAAATAAAAAATAAAAAAAGTCTAGTACTGCTACAATTTACTTCAGCAATACCTTGCTATAAATATATTATCATAATGTTCTACTTAGCTATATGCATTACTTTGATATCTTTTATTCATTAATTATCATTACATTTTGGTTGTGATATATGGCAATTAATTCAATATTTAAGTTTTATAAATTACAAATGCAGTCTCAAATAATAAAATAAAAAAATTCTAGTACTGCTGCAATTTACTTTGTGATATAAATAAGTTCTAAAGTAATAATGCATAAAAATTGCTTTTAATATAAAGGTTGCAGACTTATAAATAACTAGAAAATATAGGATGTACATGTAATAATATTTGTATTGCTAATAGTCTCTATAAATGTATATATATATTTGGAATATATATATTTTAATAATGTACTTATAACTTTGTACAGACATTATTTATAATTTATTTATTTAATTAATATAAATTTATTTATACTTTTTTTTTCAAGCTAGTTATGTAAAATTTATAAAAACTTATTAAATATATACTGTTGACATTAAGATTTTTTACATTTTTGATCATAACTTTTGATGTACCAAAACAAATTGGATGAAACAACCACCATTGAATTCAGCATATTGAGACAGTTCTAATAAATACAAAACATGTGATTTTAATCATAGGATCACAAGATTAGGATGATTTTGATGAAATATTAAATTTAGTATATATAACTTGGATATAAATGGCTAAATTAGCTAAGCTCCTAAAAACACAAAAAGCATGAAAAGCATAGATATTACAAATATCACTGATCTCAAATATATCATATATATATCATTTCTTAGCTTTTTTTTATATATACAATATCTTTTATATATAATATATAGCATATATCCTTTATATTTATAATATTTCTTATTATGTATTATTATTTTTAGCATATTCTATTAAGATAACTTAGCTTTATTGTAATTATTTATATATATATAATATCTATAAAAGCACTGCTTTCTGATGCTTCAAGAAAGTTAAGTATTCTTATACTTTATATAAGTGTTTCCATATATTTAAAAATATCTTCATATATTTTATAGTTAATAAACTGAATATAATATTTAGTATCTTGAAAATAATGCTAAGACCAGAAGGGTGCAAACCAGTAGCGGCAGCAGGGACCTGGCTTGAGATACGTGCTACTAG